CTATTTCATTCATTGCCTCACTCACACACCTACTGCCTCACTCTCACCTTCTGCCTCACTCACGCACTGCCTCACTCGCTAACATACTGCCTCACTCACTCACTCACTGCCTCACTATTTCATTCATTGCCTCACTCACACATCTACTACCTCACTCTCTCACCTACTGCCTCACTCGCTAACCTACTGCCTCACTCACTCACTTCCTCACTATTTCATTCATTGCCTCACTCACACACCTACTGCCTCACTCACACACCTACTGCTAAGTCACGCATTGCCTCACTCACTGCCTTGCTATTTCATTCATTGCCTCACTCACACACCTAATACCTCACTCTCTCACCTACTGCCTCACTCGCTAACCTACTGCCTCACTCACTCACTTCCTCACTATTTCATTCATTGCCTCACTCACACACCTACTGCCTCACTCACACACCTACTGCTAAGTCACGCATTGCCTCACTCACTGCCTTGCTATTTCATTCATTGCCTCACTCACACACCTACTGCCTCACCAACTCACCTACTGCCTCACTCATGCAGTGTCTCACTCACCTACTGCCTCACTCACCTACTGCCTCACTCACTAACCTACTGCCTCACTCACTAACCTACTGCCTAACACACTCACCTACTGCCTAACACACTCACCTACTGCCTAACACACTCACCTACTGCCTCACTCACTCACCTACTGCCTCACTCATGCAGTGTCTCACTCACTAACCTACTGCCTCACTCACTAACCTACTGCCTAACACACTCACCTACTTGCCTAACACACTCACCTACTGCCTCACTCACACACTTCCTCACTCACTCACTGCCTTGCTATTTCATTCACTGCCTCTCTCACTAACCTACTGCCTCACTCACTCACCTACTGCCTCAGTCACTAACCTACTCCCTCAGTCACTGACTCACTCACTGATTCACTCACCTACTGCCTCAGTCACTCACTCACTGACTCACTCACCTACTGCCTCACTCACTCACCTACTGCCTCACTCACTCACTGATTTACTCACCTACTGCCTCAGTCACTCACTCACTGACTCACTCACCTACTGCCTCACTCACTCACCTACTGCCTCACTCACTCACTGATTCACTCACCTACTGCCTCAGTCACTCACTCACTCACTCACTGACTCACTCACCTACTGCCTCAGTCACTCACTGACTAACTCACCTACTGCCTCACTCACTCACTGCCTTGCTATTTCATTCACTGCCTCACTCACTCACTGCCTCGCTAATTCATTCATTGCCTCACTCACTCACCTACTGCCTCACTCACTAACCTACTGCCTCACTCACTCATTGCCTCACTCACTGCCTCACTTACTCCACAAGCCTTTCTGAGTTTCACTAGGTGTGGACGAGTAGCTCCAGTGTTTACTTGTGGAGGGTCATGGGTGCAGATTTGATAGTGTAGCAACCATCACACCGACATACCAATATTGATTAGCTTTGATTTTGTGAGTGTTGAAACACCTTCAAGCTACTTGTTCTTCTGTGTGATAGATACATCAGGGGTGAATGTTGTGTATTTAATGTACATTGGCCAGCTTAGTTTGCCTTGATCTATAACAGTCCACTATAGGTGCTGGATTAATGGCCGATCAATCATCAGACTGCAACGAAATATTGATTACTTCATTTGATAGCGGTTCATCCTCAGAGAACTGAAACCCAAGCAAAAGTTCTTTCAAGTCTACTGAAGCATATTGGCCTCCCTCAGTTTAAGTAGCATTTTTTTGTTTTTATGTGAAAGGCAAATTGATGGATATTCTTCTGGTAACATGCAAAATTATCTGCGCCCTTATTGATGTTGAGGGTTATGAATATGACTGTGGTTACAGATGTAGCATGCACATGTAGGCTTGTCAGACTCGAGTCCTTGTCATTAAGAGTTAAATCCTCAGCTGTGTATTGACCAGTCTGCTGAAGTCGGTATTCCCAAGAATATTGATAAACCAGCGTTCACGCAAACCCACAATAGCATTCCTCACAAAATCCCACACGGGAAAACACGAACCATTATACATGACAACTTGTCGGCCGTGATATCAACCAGCAGCTCCTGAGAAAATATATGAATCAAGGATAATGTATGCATGGTGTATGATACACAAAGATCAAAGTTGCAAGCTGTTTTGCCTGGGTATGGACGGTGGGGAGACATGTTGAGAGGGGAGCGAGGCCGTGTTCACACAGCCTGGGAGGATTGGAAACATGACCTAGATTTAATCAGGTAGGACAGTATAGCAACATCAAAGCCGGAGTCGCGCCTTTGATGTAGTGTTAAGTCCTGTCTCTGATAAATAATAGACTGGGTGGTGTGTAAGAGGGAGTTAGTCCCACTGTGTATGCCTGGTCATAATGTATAGAGCTGAATGAACCATATAGGATAGATATACTTCCCCTCAACAGATGGGCAGCGGCAACGTTGGTCAGGCCTGAACAATTGTTTTGTGTTTCTTTTACACTTGAAAGGACTTTGCTTTTTGAAAATGAAAAAGTACCTTGTTTGAACTTATTTATATTATTTTTTATATTTTTTAAAATTTCAAATTATAAATTTTGTTTTTAGGTTACACATATAAACCTTTTCGTAATTCAGTTTTTCTTGTGCCCTCTGCTAATTTAGCGTATGGACCAAGAGAGTCCATGAAGCAGGGACAAGTGTAGTGGGTGTTATTAATGTTTTAAATAGTTGTGATGAGTCAGTGAAGGAGTGAAAGGTTTTAAACATTTGGGATACAACAACACCCTTTAGAAGCAGAATTTTAATGGCGTAATGGAGATTTAATTTGAGGCAATTTGCTTTGAGGTGATGAATTGCCTCGAGGTAGAGAGGAATGTCATTGAAATATTCAATGTTTAATTGTGTGATAAATGTTTATTGTATGTACCTAAAATCTTGGATATTCACATCTTGTTTGCTAAAATGAGTGAGTGGGAAAATGTTGTTTTATGCTACATAGTCTGTCTCCAAGACCCTAGAGAATAAATAAAAAAATAAATCCAACTCAAGTCTAGAATGATTTGGCAAGTCTAGATCTCCTCAGATCCTGATATTAAGCATTGTCCTGAGGTCCATTTGGCAAGTCTAGATTGCCTAAACTCCAGGCTGACATTAAGCATTGTGCTTGGCTCCATTTGGCAAGTCTAGATTCCCTAAACATTTGCTAAACTCCAGGCTGACATTTAGCGTTGTTCTGGGCTCCATTTGGCAATTCTAGATTCCCTAAACATTTGCTAAACTCCAGGCTGACATTTAGCATTGTTCTGGGCTCCATTTGGCAATTCTAGATTCCCTAAACTCCAGGCTGATATTAAGCATTGTTATGGGCTCCATTTAGATATTACTTTTATTTTGTAGATATATACTTATGAATAAAATAACTTTATTCCTGGGACTAATGGTGGTCTAGCCACATGCATGAAGACGCCAGTGTCTTCCAATGATGCTATGCAGTCAGAAAATGTAAACTTGATACTACTCAATACTGCTATGTGTCTCTTAAATCCCTGACATTTGGTCACTTTAGTTGATAGTTCTTAAACATATCCTGTTGAGATTTTTAAGCCTGCTGTTATTGTTTGTGAGTTGATTTATTGTGGAGCGCCAAGTACGGATGTGAGACTGATGGAGTGCCATGGAGAGTGCCATGGAGAGTGCCATGGAGAGTGCCGTGATGTAGTGGCCTGATGCCTAGGAATGACTGACTGCATCAACTCCCAGTCGGAGGCACCTGTTAATCGAACACTTGATCAATCTGTCTGGCTCCTCACTAGCCCAGTAATGGACAGCGCAGGCTGTCTCAAATGACCTGTTTCATCAAGTTTATATTGTCACAGTAGTCCGCAGGTGATAGATCAACGTTAACAGGCTCTGTCAGATCAACCTGGCTTACCTAAGATGCTATGGATGGGACTTTTATTATGTGAATAAGTGTTTATGTATGTTACCAATATTAGTTTGAAGATGGGAAGATGTTCAGTTTGGTAACCCAAGGGGGTCGCTAAAAATAGGTCCCCAGTAACCCATGCTGTTTTGTGTATAAAATGTGTTATATGAAATATGAACTGTCAGGTAATATGGGTTTTATGGGAGGTTGATATTGAATAGAGTATCTGCCTGGAGAGCGAAGGTTGGTGGTTTCGATCTGCAGCCGTGGAATACGAACAGATGCTATGAGATGGTACTTGTTGTTACCCTGACTGGCACTCAAAAGTAAGGGAATAAAAAAGAACTGGTCGTCTGAGATGTAGGATTCTGTGTCTGAGTGAGGTATCCATATTAAACTGTGGCATGATGTATTATAGGGCTAGCACTAGAGATCTGGCATTAGTCACATGTGCAACTTTCATCTGACAACAATACAGAGTTGAGGGCATTACGTTTCGAATGACTTATACATTGATCGGTGGTTATCCCCAACCTGGTAGGTGTAATTGGGCAGCTCTAAATAAAGTGGGTGAAAAAGAGGAATTCTGTTCTTCTGCGTCATGTCATTGATTCTTCACAAGGAAGAACTACATCTTTTGAAAAAGAAAACGGAAGTCTCGTCAGACACATCCTTAACTTGCCTGTTCCTTATTTTTTGTTCTCAGTATATATTTATTACTCACCGGGATGTAGCTATACGATGACCAACAGTTGCCAAGCTTCAGATTCAGCTGTGCATATATAGTTAGGGGGCAAGTGGCCTTGTCTGCCATAATGGTAAGAAAAAAAGGACAATTGACCATATTGCTCAGAAATGGAGGCTGCCATCAAAATATGTTTTCAGGGGCCAATGACAACTGCAGTCTCCTTGTAATGCCTCTGCCTCAACCCTTTTGCAGGACTTTCAGAAGCATCTGTGGATTGATAAGAGGGCTTATTTGTGTTTTGTTGGGGTCAATGACCCTGTCCCTGTCCCAGGTCAATACTTGTGTGTATTCATGTGTACTGTGATTAAAGGATGGTGATGCTGTTGCAGGCGCGGCGGGCCATACAGCGTGGAGCTACAGCTGTCATCTTCGACGTCTCCGACAGCCCCGATGCTGCTGCTGAGGTAGGCCACCTGTGACTCTGGTCGGGCTGCTTGCATGATGTGTCTGGATTTAGTCAATAATAGAAGAAACATACAAGTGCTCATTCAAACAATCACAAAATTGATTAGAGTACATTAGCACAGTTCTAGTTTGCCTGAGGCTGTCTGCAGCAAATGTGTACATCAATGTCAGAAGACAGAAACATTCTGTGCTGTGTGGTTGCTAAAAGCCGTGTAAAATCATACTCACTCAATTCTTATGGTCCGAGTTTGTGTTTGTTCAAATGTTGCATCTTTCTATTTTCTACATATTTATCAATAAACATGACATGCCCTAGTGAATTATCAAAGTCATTTCAAATGTTCCGCTGCTCAACAAACTTAAGAAATATTCAGGTGAACATGTCTTGTTGGGACAGTAGGTGTGCTGGATGTAATGTAAGAATCCATTCCCACGGGGGACTGGGGTTGTATTAGGGCTGGGACGGGTGAGTACTGAGTAGGACCCGTGTACCCACAGGACTACTCGGACCCATGGTTAAGTCAACTTTAGTGTATGCATGACCAGATTGTTTAATACATGGATCTAAATATTCTTTGCCAGTGCTATGCTAAAAAAGGTCCCAATCGGACATTTTGAGACATCTCCTGAGACCTACAGTGGGTAGGGTCGTGTAATGGGGGGGTGGGGACCCGGGTAATAAATTTTGACTCGTCCCAGCCCTAGGTTGTATGTAGTCCTTGTCTGACCTGGGAGGAATCCATCCAACCCTGTTACGACTGCACAGATCATGCATTGATCAGTTCAAATGTCAGGTTGGGAGTTTTCTGAAGATTGTTCAGCAGTATAGGGGCTGAATACGTTCCCTCTTGTCTAGGAGGCCTTTCAGATAGGATGGGTGGTTGCAGAGTGTGGTCTGTCACATTGTGTGTTTGTCTCATCCCCATGCAGAGCTCGATTTAGGAAACTTGATTTAACCTGCACCAAGTGCATGTTGATGTGAAGAGCTAGTTGCACCAGACTAAACCAGGTTGCACCTTTGTCCCTAGTCAAATATATCCAATACAGCCCATGCAAGTCTATAATGTTTGGCAAGTCTAGATTACTGCAGTATCTAAAAATGAAGAAAGTCTCAAACTATATTCATTTGAGAGACTAGATGTTAGTCAACCGGGAGATGTATGTGTGCTTCATCTTGACAAGATAGGCGATGACAGTGATTGTATGTGTGCTTCAGCTTGATCAGATAGGTGATGATTAAGTGATTGTATGTGTGCTTCAGGTGGACTAGATACAGGTGATGACAGAGTGATTGTGTGTGCTTCACCATGACTAGATATGGGTTATTACAGAATGATTTTAAATGTGCTCCAGCTTGAGAGTGTGGTGGAGCCACTTCATCGGCCGGTCATCATCATCCGTGGGCGTGAAGCTGCGAAGCTGATGAACATTGTGAACACACAGGATCAGGCCCAGCTGCGTCTCATCTACAGTCCAGCAGACAAGGAGGAAAGAGGCGTGGAGGTAGGCTCCAGTGTCATGTACAGTCTCATTCCCATCAGATCTTCAACAATATAATACAATACCTCTCTTATCTTATCTCCATGTCAGAATGATGAGATCTGATTGGTTCACGTGATCTTGATAAAATACTCTCTATCCTGCCTGGCAGGGAAATAAATTTCTGAGATGGAGAATAAATCCCTTATACCCCGCTTTGAGGCAAAAAGCTGCACACTTTTTCCGAGGCAATGAAAGTCATGTGACATAGCACAAGTTAACCTCAGCTCAGTCAAACAACTGTTGTCTATTTTCCTCTTGTTGTAATTCTTTTACAATGTCAGATTTAAACATGTCGTGATGATAAATTAGTTATAGCAGTATAACACAAGCCAGAGGCTTATACCCCTCATGGTACTGCTTCAACTTGTAGTGTGTGGTACCTGCTTCAACTTGTAGTGTGTGGTACTGCTACAAGTTGTAGTGTGTGGTACTGCTTCAACTTGTAGTGTGTGGTACTGCTTCAACTTGTAGTGTGTGGTACCTGCTCCAACATGTAGTGTGTGGTACCTGCTTTAACTTGTAGTGTGTGGTACCTGCTTCAATTTGTCATGTGTGGTACCTGCTCCAACTTGTAGTGTGTGGTACCTGCTTCAACTTGTAGTGTGGGGTACCTGCTTCAACTTGTAGTGTGTGGCACCTGCTTCAACTTGTAGTGTGTGGTACCTGCTTCAATTTGTCATGTGTGGTACCTGCTCCAACTTGTAGTGTGTGGTACCTGCTTCAACTTGTAGTGTGTGGTACCTGCTTCAACTTGTAGTGTGTGGTACCTGCTTCAACTTGTAGTGTGTGGTACCTGCTTCAACTTGTAGTGTGTGGTACCTGCTTCAACTTGTCATGTGTGGTACCTGCTTCAACTTGTAGTGTGTGGTACCTGCTTCAACTTGTAGTGTGTGGTACCTGCTTCAACTTGTAGTGTGTGGTACCTGCTCCAACGTGTAGTGTGTGGCACCTGCTTCAACTTGTAGTGTGTGGTACCTGCTTCAACTTGTAGTGTGTGGCACCTGCTTCAACTTGTAGTGTGTGGTACCTGCTTCAACTTGTAGTGTGTGGTACCTGATTCAACTTGTAGTGTGTGTTACATGCTCCAACTTGTAGTGTGTGGTACCTGCTCCAACGTGTAGTGTGTGGCACCTGCTCCAGTGGTACCTGCTCCAACGTGTAGTGTGTGGCACCTGCTCCAATGTGTAGTGTGTGGCACCTGCTCCAACGTGTAGTGTGTGGTACCTGCTCCAACGTGTAGTGTGTGGCACCTGCTCCAACGTGTAGTGTGTGGTACCTGCTTCAACTTGTAGTGTGTGGTACCTGCTCCAACGTGTAGTGTGTGGTACCTGCTCCAACGTGTAGTGTGTGGTACCTGCTCCAACGTGTAGTGTGTGGTACCTGATTCAGATGGTGCTGTGTTGCAGATCAGCCGGAAGGACTATTTCAACATGGGCATCTTTGTTGCTGTGTTTGTCATCTTCTCCCTCATCTGTGTCTGTGTCATCCTCAAGGTGAGTACTAGCTACCTTCATTAGCAGAGTCGTCTTGGAAACAGTTTATCATATCAATTCTAGGCCTCTCATGAGTCCTATCTACTCAACATGCTGGGGGCATGAGTGGCGTGCTCGTCAATTTTCTGTGCAGAGTTGCATCCTTTGATCATGTGTTCAAATCCCAGATTGGCCCTGATCATGTTTCTTGGTTTGCATGTTGCATGGATTTCACCTAGGTGGTGGTAAATGTCAAAGACCTGCATGCTGGAATCATAAAGATTTTACAAGTGCTTCAAACAGTTTACTGCAGCGCCTGTGTTGTTCCTCTGACAATCTGCTCTTTGGCTAATTAAGGCAGATGACAACCTTCTTATTGTGAGTTTGAGTGAGTTTTTTGTTTTTATGCCGTGAGGGACACCAGAAATGGGCTTCACACATTGTACCCATGTTGGGAATCGAACCCGGGTCTTCTGAGTGACAAGTTAATGCTTTAACAACTAGGCTACCCGACCGCCCCTTCTTATTGTGTGGGGCTTGACCAACTTCCTAGATGTGTAATGGGTCTTCTAGGCAAACATATGTACATAGATATGATTCAGAAAGAAACAATGCGGGGAAAACTTACATTCCAACATGACATCTCAGTGGGATAGCGCTATAAAATCGGCATTAGTCCAGACTAGTACAAGCAAACAAGCAAACACCCCCCCCCACCACCATATTGCTGGAGTATTTCTAAAACTGACTGAGTACAATGTGTGAAGCCCATTCCTGGTGTCCCCTGCCGTGATATTGCTGGAGTATTTCTAAAACTGACTGAGTACAATGTGTGAAGCCCATTTCTGGTGTCCCCTGCTGTGATATTGCTGGAGTATTGCTAAAACTGACTGGGTACAATGTGTGAAGCCCATTTCTGGTGTCCCCTGCTGGGATATTGCTGGAGTATTTCTAAAACTGACTGAGTACAATGTGTGAAGCCCACTTCTGGTGTCCCCTGCTGGGATATTTCTAAAAGTGGCATGAAACCAAACTCAACTCACTCTAAAACCGACACTAAGCAATCACTCTTTTCCAAACCAGAAACATTAAACATATTGGATCATACTGCATTGATTACAATATACTGTGTATTTCAGGTGAGATGGAGAAACCGGGAACGTCAGCTGTCCATGACAAACCTTGCCAAACGAGCTATTGCCAAGCTAGAGACGAGGAAGTACATCCCAAAGACGACCAAACACAAACACGTGCACACACCAGACTCTGACTCCAGCCTGCAGAGCTCTGCCTCGGAGAGTTGTGCCATCTGTCTTGAAGGATACCAGGAGGAACAGGTCAGTGGACCAGCAGACAATAGGAATATTAATATTTCTCTTCAAAATATATATATGACCCGTGAAGATCCGGGGTAGAATAGGTCTTCAGGAACCCATGCTTGTCGTAAAAGGTGACTAACGGGATCGGGTGGTCAGGCTCGCTGAATTGGTTGATGCATGTCATCGTATCCCAATTTCATGGATCAATGTTCATGATACCAAACACTGGATTGTCTGGTCCAGACAAGATTATTTACAGACCGCCGTCATATAGCTGGAATAATAATGAGTGTGGCGTTAAACAACAAGCAAACAAGCTACATATAGACTATATATATGGATTCCTGACTTGTGAGATACCACTGGATCAACCAGAAACGGAATGCTTGTGTTGTTAGTCACACCCATGCATAAAAACAAAAGATTTTCTTAATTAATTCTGGGGCAAAGTTTGCAGAGTGGGAATTGACTCTATAAAGTTGTGTCTCTTAACCCTTAGCTCCTGATCATGGGTGTGATTCCTGGTTTGCTCTGACGATGGTTCTAGTTTGTCAGCAAAGTGGTTAACGTCTAAGACTTGCATTATTTTTGGATTTCCTCCCACATCGAGCTGACAGGCCATGATATAACTGAAAACCTGATAAAGTGTTATAAAATACAGCTCACTCACTTACACTACTTAATCACAAGTTAGTCCACTTTTTTAAACTAAAAAGAAGAAGAATGTGATAATATTTGCCTGAATACTTATTTTAGACTGATTCTCAGATTAATAAAAGTAGTTATTTGCCAATGGTAAAAATGTTTTTACTGTTTCCCAATACATGTACAACTCTGATACACTTGGTGCTTAGGTTCTGCGAGTGTTGCCATGCAACCATGACTTCCACCGAATATGTGTCGACCCCTGGCTCCTCAACAAGGGCACCTGTCCCCTGTGCAAGGTCAACATCACAGGTAAAGAAACTAACAAATACAGAATACTGTTTTCACCATAATAAGGTGAGGTGGTGAGGTGAAATCGGGTTTAACGTTGTGTCGGAGATTATTGCACTTATATAGCGACGTGCATGCAGTTGTGTGTGTGTGGCTGCTTGTACTAGTCCGGAATGATGCCGATTTATAGTGCTAGCCCACTGAGATACTATGCCGCAGTTTAACATGAATACCCCACTCAGACACAGTATAGTGACTCCGAGCCGACCAGTCCTTGTTTTAGCCCCTTAATGTCAAGCGCCAGACAGGGTAACACCAAGTACCATCTTTTAACGTCTTTTTTTTTTAGTTCTCTTGAATATTAAGACAAGTTAAGGGAAGTCTTTATGCTACCAGGCATTCCCAGCTGTGTTTCAGATGGTACGGTATTTGTTTGTTGATGATGTTGCTTTTTGTTCATGTTGTTAGATCAGAATTATACAGTGATGACACAAAGATGTCTTTCTTCAATGTCGTCTATTTGGGTACATTCCACTTACAAACATGTACGTGTGCACACAACAGCATTCTAATCAAAACAAACGTCTAACAGCCCTTGCCGTAGCAACCTACCTCACTTAAGTCACACAGACTTTTACTTACAAGTAAACAAGTTACCCTGGCGACATCCAACGTTATCACTCACTGGGTCCCGCCATCTTCAATGAAGTCTCGCTCTCATGAAATCTCCTTATATATTTACAAACTAACATTTAACAATATCATGACTATAACATCGTGTCATTCAAACCAGACTCAAAACAAAGCTGTGGTGGCAAGTGGACCCAGGGTATTTAACTTAATGATATACTACCCTCGATAAATGAAGATGTAGTCAGTGATGTAACAGTACCTGTATGAACCAAGCGAACAATTTTTTGTTGTATTTTTTGCTTCCAAATGTATACAAAGATGTAACACCATATTCATAATATTCATGAAATAATATAATATTCACAATGTTTGTTGCAGCACAAGTCGAACTTCCTCCAAGTGAAGTATCGGGTAACCATGACAACAACACACAGAATACTGGGTATTCCATCGTCTCACCAAGCGGTCAGAGAAGCAACTACATGCCCCTTCAGTATCCCCCCCGAGACCTACCCCCGGCGCCAGTTCACGTCATTCCCAACCATCATCCCCTACTACAGACCACCTGCCCCTCGTGTGAGGGAACAGTCGGGTCGTCCCAGTCATCCACCGACTCCTACCTGCAGCAAGGTTTTAACACTCACACGGAACACTACTACCAAAATATAGATTGTATTCACAGTATTCCAGAGAGGAAAATGGTGGTTGGATCATACAGACGTTCGGTCGGGCCGTATTTTCCATCCCGAATGTCCACCACCCATGTAATGTCGCCATCTTGCCAAGGTCAGTGTGGGTATTCTCACCGGGCTGGTCCTCGTCGACCTTTAATTTTGCCAGTGCCACATAGTGTGCGGCGTGCATGTGAAAGTGAGGCTGAACGTGAAGCTGTACGAGCTGCGAGTATTGTGGCGGTGCGGGGCAGCAGTAGCTCGGACCCTAACCCGAGCGACACAAGTCTTGAATGTGATTGTTGTAAGCAGTCAGCTGGGTCGACTATGTTTGACAGCAACAGAAGCACGTACGGTAGTTCGGACAATAAGGACTCAAGTGATGTGAGCAGTTACGATTCATACTTCTACCGAGACCACAGTCCCCAAAGCAGTGGGGATGAGAAACATCATCTGCCAAATGAGACAAAGTTACCTTCTGTCCATGTCCGACCATCGTGTGGACTAGGTCGTGGGAGACGGGAATCAGATCATCGGGAAGCTGCTCAGAGTCATACGTGTCGGTCACGTGACAAAAACAACCTTGACATTGTGAAACGAGAAAAATGTGCTCAGGAACGTGTGTGTGATATGTGGCGGAAAGTTCACAACTCTGCTCCATGTAATCACAAAAAGTCGGACACTAGTCATATTCTCGTCAACACTCGGCCACAAGGGGGCGCTGGAGCAGCGCCCTCTGTCTGTCGAAGACATAAATCATCTGTGATATCTATGCAGAGAAGTCGAACCTTCTCATCATCTCGGGATTTTCAGTCAGGGGTCAAGGTTGGTTCGACCCTTGACCCTCAAGTGTGTATACGACAACATCGTGTTAGTGCTCCATCCCAAACGTTTAGAGATAGTGCAATTACATCCTCCTATACTCGCACACACAGTGGTGGGATGCACTACTCCGCTACACGCCGCTATTCTCTGTGTCTCGACTGCAAGGGAGGTCACCAGGGTCATGTAGCTTTCCGTTCTAGGAATTCTCATGCATTTAGCCAGTGGAATAGCAGCGGGTCACATGGTGCTAGGAGTCGACCCAATCAGTTAACAGTGTGTTCCAGCAGTATACGGGCCGAGCGAGGTTACTCAAGACTGGTGCGACCGATGCCATATCGGCCTGTGGTCTGTGAGATGTGTCGCCGACTCACCCATGTGCCAGTGCCTCGACGGTCCGTGGTGCTGTACACAGAGCCACAAGGTAGGAGCTTGCAACTGTTTATATACTACTCAAAAGATGTTAAGGATCATGCAATCATCCAATGACAGATTTACTATAGTGATATGAAAGAAGGGGGTGATCCTTAACTTTATATCCCCACGGTTTGAAAAATGGGTAAATAAAGTAATCACCATGACCGTCCGTCAGTCCATCTGTCCATCAGTTTTCCGTTTCCAGAGCAGAACTCCAAAATCATTAAATATTTCTTGTTGAAACTTTCTATATAGATCAGTCTACTGGGGAACTGGTGCCTTGAATCAAATTACAAATATATATGTTTGCAATTTGGATTCATTTTTACTTTGACAACCTAATGGACCCAATAGACCATGGAAGATCCAGGTACAGAATTGGTCTTCAGCAACCCATGCTTGCCCTAAGAGGCGACATCGGGTGGTCAGGCTTGGTTGATGCATGTCATCGTATCCCAATTGCGTAAGACTGATGCTCATGATATCAATCACTTTTACATAAAATAGCAATGCAGAAGGGGTATATTATTGTTTAGTAACTGTTATCAAAAATATTTCATCCATGTTTGAACCAAGTTTGTTAACTGCCGCTTATTCTTTGAAAACCTGCGTGTGGTTCTAATAAGTGCCCCTTTATCAATCTTCTAGCACCAGGGTGCTTATTATGGCATATGGTGGTAATGTGGTAATGTGAAAAGGTCTGGCATGCTTTGGCCATTTGCGGCTTGCCTGCCCTTCTCAGGACATGAATGTACCGACACACCTCCCATGCCAAAGCAGGTTGCCATTGATTGATGTCTGAAGTAACAATCTATTAATCATTCAGGATATCTTTTTCCAGGTGCTTTCATCACAATCCCTCTCGGCGAGAAAGAAAAGTACGACCCTGAGAATGGCGTGTAGAACAGTGGACACTCATTACATGTTACAGGGAATTGTTGTTATTGTTTATGTTTGTTACCATGGTTACCTCATTACCTCAGTCACATGGTCAGTGTCAGCACTGCCCCCTATGCAGTGATTGGATCATTTTTTGGTGTATTTTACGAGATCGCATTTACTAGGTCACAGGGCTCAGAATTGTTATTGAGAAAACAGATAAACAGAAGCATGATGTTACATTTGTCTGTGCAAATTTGTCTGTGAAATGTAATGGCTTTGGGGTTTGTGAAAGTTCTGATGTTTTTCTCTCAATTTATGACAGTGTATGATATTGGATTTGCGAACTTGCAAAGTTGCAACGTTCTCTTGCTATGTGAAGGGCCATTAATCTGAACTACAGGTCAGACCATTTGCTTTTCTATGTGGGGTGTGTTACCAGACTGGGATATTTTCACAAATAAATGCGTTCCTGATAATAATGGACAAAAATAATGTGGCATCAGGTTTTACAAAAAATGTTTGAATGTACTGAAAAAATAATTGTGTTAAAGATAAAAAAAATTTAATCTGTTCTGGACCAAGAAAGTGTATGTTTCGAAGCAACGAAATTCCAGGCACCTCTGCCCGTACTCCCAGAATACTGAATGGTCAGCCCCTACACAACCTCACATAAACAAATAGTGGATGCGATATCAGCTATATTGTTACATGTGGGCCTTCCTGAGATTTGTGAGACATCACTTCAAGCAGGATTACATTGATTGGATAAAGAACGACACAACCTTTCCCCATGTCTTGTCCTAATCACCAATGTTGCTGTTGTGTTCACCTTGATGTCATTGTATTTCCCCAGACAAGGCTTTGACCTGTGCATTTATGTGATATATTAATCAAATTTGTGATTAGCAGATGAATTGTTATTGACGGAGCAGAAGCACTTGTTTTTGTTGTGAATGAGAAGTATATGGTTTCCAAGGTGATGCTTTTAAAGAACATAAATCTTAGTCCTAATTACAATTTTCAGTTTGAAAAAACTGCGGAATAGGACTTGACGAGAAAATCAAATGTTGAACTAGTCTACCTTGACTTAGTTAAACAGATGATGTCTCATTCCTTCTTGACAATATGGCTTGTTCCAAAATGTTAGTTCTTAGGAAATGTTATTAAAAAACACACAAATACATTCTACCTCACTAATGATAAATATTTGAATGAAATTATATGATTAATTTAAAATGGGCGAGGATACATCAGTACAATTATTCTCGTTTTGAATCTCAACTTCATTCTTCAGTGAACGTTAAGCATTAGGGAATAGCAGAGTGGCTAATGTGATTATTAAATTGAGAGCTAGGAAGCCTTGAAGACTTGGATCTTCCTTGAAATATATTTAGTGCACTTCGGCCAATTCAAGGTAATTAAAGTCCTGGTTCATAGATCTGAAATATTTTTATTACCTTTTTCTGAACAGCCAGATAAGGGATTTGCTTTGAGATGATGTCTTTGAATGTTGAGTATTCAGGAATACATGTGGATTTGTAATGGGAGCGAAGCTACAGTGTAGTGTTGTGTATCTTGTGTTACCAAGGCCACACAGTGTCTGACCGGGTGAGAGACAAACCAAGCATTGAATATACACTAAGTAGATGCACTGATGAACTGTAGACACCAGGGATCTGACAGTTACTCAAACACAAGGTCAGGTTTAAAGGATATTGGTACCTGACCAGGGGAGATAACTCCCATCTTCACTTCTCGTAGCACCCTTGTTTGCAGACCTAGAAGAGAAATGGTAGTATATGGATGCATTTTGATTTATTTGTTTATAAGGAAAAATAATAATTGATTCTCTCGCTTAATATGGTCCAAATCAGGAACTCAGGTACAGGTTAGGATTTGAGAAACTTATGTCTGTCTACAGTCAATCTCATTATAATCAGATCTTAGATCTAGCTATCGCTAAACAAAGATCTGAGGACATCCCATTACGGGTCACGTCAGAACTACCTTTCATCCGACCAATCAAAGCGTCGCGTACCAGATCATGAAAGAGACATTTTCTAATCATGCAACCTCGAAAACATTAACACAGGGTATTCCAAACGACAGATACGGCCCGTACAACTGATTGCGTCAAAATATCGTCTATCTCTTGGTTCTGTGGGAACAACATTTGAATGGAGGATGCGTTGCACAGTACGTATGAAGCACTGCCATACACTCTCAACCATATATTAGACATTAAGGAATGTTCGTTTGTTCAGTTTTCAAAATATTAATCGAGAACTGTGTCAATATGTTTTTCAAGCGTAGACAGAAATGGAATTCGCTTGGTTGAAACGAGTGCCGTCAAGCTCGAGAAAGCTGCTTTCTAATTGGCTGATGTCGACTTGGCTAATGTCATTTCTGTCGTCGGTCAAAGTTCCTGAAAGGTCGTCATGACGTGACCCGTAATGGGATGTCCTCATATCTTTGTTTAGCGGCAGCGAGAACATAGATCTGATTTTAATGAGATTGGTCTACAGTGATGTGGACAACCACACAAAATAACTGTAGCTGTCTTAATTCGATCTTAAAAAGACGAATGGGAATCTCTTACTGGACAGGCAAGGGTGGCCCAGTTGTCTCATGCCACAATTCGTTGTGCAGAATTGTGTCCCATGGGCACACCAGAATCCTATGATCATGGGTTCGAAATCCCGGTTCATGTCGATTATGTTTCTAGGTTTTGTCTGCACCATACCCATGCTAATGTGTTTCACCAAAGTGGTAAACATATTAGGCCTGCATTACTTGGGGCATTCCTACCACAGCTGACATGCATTGATATATAACTGGAATACTGTTAAAAGCAGCATTAAACCCAACTCACACACTGTAAGACAAAGATTACCAAAAATTAAAACCCTAGTCTAACAAGATGTCCCGACATTAAATACATGACTCTCACTGTAGCTCTGCTCCCTCTCAGCATGACAGATATGGACTAAAATGCCAGTCAGGGCTGGTGGTGTTCAACACTCTGCCCAAACTCTGTATATTCTTGATCTTGGTTCGATGTACCTCCTATCTGTGCCAGTCTTGCCGACACGCCAGTCACTATTGGGCATTTTGAGATGGTATTTAACATGTTGAAGGGGTGCTCATATTAGGTTTTATGATTTCATAGAAAACATTGATGGTCATGTAGCCCAGAGGTATAGTTGGTTTTGTCATGCCAAAGGTCCGGGTTCAATGCCTCACATGTGTATAACGTCTGAAGCCCATTTCTTGTGTCACTACTGGGATATTGCTAAAAGTGGCATCCCTCTTACTCACTAGGGGGGGGCATGGGTGGCCCAGTCGTCTAAGGCGCCACGATTTGCTGTGCAGAGTTACGTCCCTTGGGCACGCCAGAAACCTATGTTCGTGGGTTTGAATCCCGGTTCGCCCTGATTATGTTTCTAGGTTTGTCAGCACCAAACCTGTGCTTGTGGGTTTCACTGAAGTGGTAAATGTCCGTGACCTGCATCACTTCGGGCTTTCCTCCAACATTTAACTGACACGCCATGATATAACTGGAATACTGTTAAAAGCGGTGTTAAAACCCAACTCACTCACTCAATAGGTATGTTTTTGAAAATATGTAAAAACTTAAAAACTGATAAGACGAATACCCCTTCAACAAACAGTTGATAGATTTTATCTGTTGTCTGTGTCTACTAGGACATTTCTTTGTTGTCAGCATTCATGGAATGATGTGTCTGTATGTATTCCCATTTCACAGTGCACACTTTGAGTTTATTGTAACAATTGTTTCATGAGCACTGATTACACAATGTGAGTCTGTGTTGTCAGTGACACATCAGTGTTTGTGGTCTGCTATACCAGTGGGTATACCGGATTAGAATAAAGGTCCCCAGCAACCTTTGCTTGTTGTAAGATGCGACTGAATGGATGGGCAGGTTCAGGTTTGGTTGTTGCATGTCATCGTATCCCAATTGCATGGATTGATGCTCATGATGTCAATCACAGGATTGTATGGTCCATACTTGAATATTTACAGAGCACCGTCATAAGCCTGGAATATTGCCGAGTGTGGCATTAAACAACAAACAAAAGACACAAGGGGGCTGTTTGCAAAACATTGCACCTCAAAACAAGAAACACAACAAGATAAAAGTATTATGAACAACAATGCCATTTAGAAAGTTGTCAAATGTAACAAATGTTATATTTGGGATGACACTTTCGGAGTAAAGTACAGATTCTCGTACTGATTTGGGTTGAGTCCCGTCCGGGATTCGAACCCACATTGCCAGAGTGAGGCACCTAATCGCCAGCACACAAAGTCAGCGATCTAACCCACTCAGCCACCAAGGCTTCCACAAAAATGAAAGTCCGACAACCGGTAGTCTAGATCACATATTTTGTGTACCCCTCTGACATGTGTAAATTGGTACGGCTCCCATGGCCCGATGGCTGAGTGGGTTTGATCGTTAGAAAGTGTTATCCCAAATATAACATTTGTTATAAAGGTATTCGGCGGAATATTTCCAACATGGGAACCAGATGGCAACTGCATTTCAATAATTAAATTTGTACTATTTCGAAGTCAGAAATAGGACATTTTATGTTACGATGGGCCACATGAAGTCTCACAGTTTCTTCTGTTTTCAGTTCAGAATCGGAGACGTTATCTGATTTTCAGTCTTCACAGAATACCATAATAATGTTCATGATACGATGAAATTTGAATACTAATTGTGAAGCGACAGTAGTTTACTTTACTCTTAAAATGCCTGTTTACATGCATAATTTATTAATGTGAATATTTATGTTGCCTTTTCAATGCAATAATCGGGTAATCATAATGAAATTTATAGTATAATTATTCTGAATGGTTCAATAATGGACCTGGATGGTAACGTTTTGTTTAAGCTTTTAATGTCTACCTCATTTGATTTTTGTAGACCTTTTGTTTCTTCATGAGTGGTAATTTCACACTGATGGAATGAAAGGCTTTAGACTCAACTGCTCTGGTTTATTTATTGCATGTCTGCCAGTACATAGGTGTCTGGTGGCAGTTCTTCAACTGCATATTGAACAGAAACAAGACATGGTATCATTTATATTGTATTTGTTTCAAGATTTCAGCAAAGCATTTGTGTTCCTGCAAGTCATAATTAAAACAAAGATAATAATATTCATAATATTTTATTGATATTTCAGTCCATATATTTTTATATGCTATTGAAGGATGCACTAATGTCAGCTGGAATATTAATGCAGTTAATTGAGAAATAAATGGAAGCAATATTTTGCAGTACTCTCCTCCACATCTGGAAGAGGAACATTTCTAGAAATTTCAATATTTTTGCAATGTATTCCAACTTTCCCTACCTTATAAGATGTGTAGGGATCTGTGAGGGGTGTCAGGATTACATATTGCATATTTTGATTCTGTATCTATTTTCAAAAAGTAATATTTACGCCTTTTGCGATAAAGGAACCAACAACTAATCTGGCTAACTGATGCTTGACATTAACAGGATAAAACTGAACTGGTAGGCTCGGAGTCAGTATAATGTGACCGAGTGGGGTATCCATGTTAAACTGCAGCATGGTATCTCATGGGGTAGCACTATCAAACCAGCATTAGTTCAGTGAGAACACACGCTCATTTAGGCCCATGACAATCTGGGGGACACTAGGTCTTCAGCAACCCAAAGGCGACTATGCTTGTCGTAAGAGGCGACTAACGGGATCGGGTGGTCAGGCTCGCTGACTTGGTTGATGCATGTCATGGTATCCCAATTGCATGAATCGATGCTCATGTTGTCAATCACCGGATTGTCTGGTCCAGACTCGATTATTTAGAAGGGGTTTATTCTCCCACTCAGAAATTTATTTCCCTCCAAGTCGGGATACATAGTATTTTTTCAAGATCACGTGGACCAATCAGATATCATCATAATGACATGGAGGTATGATAATCTCAATTCTTCACATAAATATTCAAGCTGACATGAGTACATTCATTTGTTTTCATATTAACAGAAGACATAATTTCTCAATACAATGCACAAAGTGAAGCTCTTTTTCTGCCATGAAATTTGTTTGGAAACAGTTTTGAAACTGTAGCGTTTTTGTTGACTGTTTGGTGAGTGGTAGCTCTGCTACAAGGGTAAATGTCTGTTGTTCCTGTCGTCCGTTGCCAGCTGGGATGGAGAGAGGAAGAAGTCATGTCGTTTTCTTGTGATACAGATTTCAGCTCTGTACAATTAAATATTATAAAATCATAATGTCATTCAAGTTTGTCTGTCTTTCTTGACGTCAGTGAGATGTATTGGAGGGTGTCAACACCTGAGGAATGGGCTAGAGGTGGATCCTTGGGGCTAGAGGTGGATCCTTGGGGCCATTCATGGGTCCTTGGACCAATCGTGGATCCAGTCTCTGGATTGTTTGGGCCAGTGTGGATCCTTGGGCTAGTCATGGATTACATTAAGGGAAGTAGTCTTGTCATAATCTGACCCTAGGTCATCACCATGGAGTAGCCAATCATGGACCTGGAATTCCATCGCACGTTTGATACCAGGTGCTCACCCACAGATCTTGAAGAAGCTGTATTCCTCCATCATCCATGAATAATTAGAGCACTTGGGGTGCAGTCCCTACTTGTTACCAAGGAATCAAGCTGCACCCTGGTTTCAGGGACAGCTCACATTGCACTGCACTGCACACACACACACACACACACACACACACACACACACACCAGTATTTCTCATGCAACACATCACGTTCTTGCAGCCATCTGTGGTCTAGCGGTAGAGCGTCCGCCCGGAGAGCGGAAGGTCCGGGGTTCGATTCCCGGCCGCGTCATACCAAAAGACGTTAAAAGATGGTACTTGTTGTTACCCTGTCTGGCGCTTGGCATTAAGGGGCTAAAACAAGGACTGGTCGGCTCAGAGTTAGTATACTGTGTCTGAGTGGGATATTCATGTTAAACTGCGGCATGGTATCTCAGTGAGCTAGCACTATAAATCGGCATCAGCCCGGACTAGTACAAGCAGCCACACAAACACACACACGTACATGCACGTCGCTATATAAGTGCAATAATCTTGGACGCGACGTTAAACCCCATTTCACCTCACCTCACCATGCAGGGAGTTGGGCTTAAGAGACAACCAAGAGTTGTACACAGTATCATTTCAATACCTGACTTAAAGTAGAAATGTCACTACTACACAGTGGGCACGCCAGAAACCTATGATTGTGGGTTTGAATCCCGAATCGCCCTGATTATGTTTCTAGGTTTGTCAGCACCACATTAAGCTGACACGCCGCGATATAATTGGAATACTGTTAAAAGCGGCATTAAACCCAACTTACTCACTCACTCACTACCACACAGCACATCAATGAATAGTCAAGGATGATGAAACCCACGCCTGAGGGTTCAAATCCCAGATTCACCATGTTTCTAGGTTTGTCAGCACCAAACCTGTCTTCATGGGTTTCACCAATGTGGTAAACGTCAAGATTTGAATCATTTTAGACTTTCCTCCCAATTGAAGATCTCACACAACGATATAACTGAATGACTGTTTAAAGTGATGTTGCACCAAATAGGCTGGCTCACTTGTACAAGGGTAAACAAGAATATGTAACAGAAGAAAAAGCAGTAACAGACGTTCTCACTGCATTCACAGGCATGACTTGGTTAATGGCAAAAAGGACATTCAACAAAAGTAAAATAAGGAACTTAAAAAAAAAATTAAGGCTAAAAAAAATAATAGTCTTGGTTCTCAGGCACCGCACACATCATCATGTCTGGCGCATGTTTCGCTTTTATTTCCATTTTCAAACAAAATTTAAAAATCCTAATACTTAAAAACAATGCGATCCAATATAGCATGCTGTTACTAGTTTGAACAAGCAAAAAATAAAAATAATAAAACACCGCCCGCCCGCCTGCACTATCTTTTCAAAAGTCATTGCCTAAAACCAATTCTTTTATTTTTTTTAAGCCTAATGTAAACATAGCTGCCAGCCTGTCAGCTAGACTTGAGCAATTTGGTCATCCTAGCAAATTCGGTCAAAATTGTTAAAACATTGCCTTGTTTTTCTGCTAACTTCATTTTTATGATGATTATCAATCTAGCTAGAATGATTACCGGTACCCAAATTACACAAATACAACTTGTCAGTTTCACACAAAGTACAAGAAACATAGAGAATACTACAAACATTCTCGTTAGATACCATTTCTATGAAACAAGTGAACTTTCTCTTAACTGCAAGGGTTATACAACGTCTACTATGTGTTGACTTGTCTCCTTCCTTCCTGTCTGCAGGTCCAGCCAATGGGATGATGTGTTGACTTGTCTTCATC